AATAACCCTTTTATTTTGCGGTTTAAGGCAAAAGTTTGTTTAGGAAACCAAAAATGTTAAAAAAAACGAAACGATAGAAATATGTGTCATTGTAAAAAGGATTTCAATGCGTTACGGCGTTATGGGGATTAGATCAAAATAAGAGAGCGCGCGCGCGTTGAATGCGTGAGGTAGCGGGATCGATGCCCGCATCCTCATATTTTTTTCCTATATGATCAATTAAAAAACACATTAAATTCTGGAAAACGCAACTCAACTTTATTCGTTCAAATATCAATTCCTTTTTGACAAACCCGATTCTTCCAATCCTTGTCAGTGTTTGTGTCCTGCAACAATACTCATTCAGGTGTTAAATGTACTGCCGTAAACGGCTCTTTTGCCGGGTATTTATGTAAACGGATTTCCCACGCCGGGAATCGAACCCGGGCCATGGCGGTGAAAAACGCCAGATCCTAGCCACTAGACCACATGGAACTTGCGATGCCTTACGTAACAGCGTCGTTTTTTTTTTAAATTACCCCTTTCTTTTGATAATTTTGCTACGCCACAGTAAGTGTGAAAAAGAAACCACATGATGGGTGTTATTGGTCAGGACAATGCATCCGAAGGGAATTTTATGCGCTAGCGGGGAATCGAACCCCGGTCTCCCGCGTGGCAGGCGAGAATTCTACCACTGAACCACCAGCGCACGCCACAATAGTGGTCAATTCGGCAATCATGTTACTCCGCTGTATGAAACATATTTTCAAATTACACCCATAAATTAGGTCCCATGCTACACGAATCAAACTCAGAAATTATATTTTTAATTTCGTAAAGAGTGATCTATCTTTTACCATTGCTCGAAAAGATGCACGAAACGGCAGCAACTGGGGGATTAGCTCAAATGGTAGAGCGCGCGCTTAGCATGCGCGAGGTAGCGGGATCGACGCCCGCATCCTCCAAAATTTTACGCTTTGGATCTGAAATCATTCTTCAGAAAACCGTTGCTTTGCATTAAAAGTTTTCGTATTATAATATGACAAATATTGATTGATCAACAATGAAGCTGGCCGTTATCAGCCTTCGATAGATCAGTTAGTAGATTGGGGGACTGTAGATAAGTAAGCAAACATCCCTAAATCACTGGTTCAAAACCGGTTCGAAGGATAGTTGCATGGAAATATTTTGAAAAATATTTTACTTGCCTATGTCAAATTGATATACTGGCAATGGAGTAGAAATTTATTAAATATATGTATCCATATTTATCATAACCTGACATTTTGTATGCTCCGTTGTTGTGTGCAGCTAGGGAACTAGGTGGATGATCGAAAACGCCTGAAGAATATGAATAGTCGTTCTGTGCTGTATGCCGAAATAGCTCAGGTGGGAGAGCGTCAGACTGAAGATCTGAAGGTCCCTGGTTCAATCCCGGGTTTCGGCAGGAACTAATTTGAAATATTTTGCCGGTTAGCTTGGTGTGTCTGCAAAATTTTGAAAATAACCCTTTTATTTTGCGGTTTAGGCAAATAGTTTGTTTAGGAAACCAAATGTTAAAAAAACGAAAATAGATATGTGTCATTGTAAAATGGATTTCAATGCGTTACGGCGGTTATGGGGAGATTAGATCAAATAAGAGAGCGCGCGCTTTGAATGCGTGAGGTAGCGGGATCGATGCCCGCATCCTCATATTTTTTTCCTATATGATCAATTAAAAACACATTAAATTCTGGAAAACGCAACTCAACTTTATTCGTTCAAATATCAATTTCCTTTTTGACAAACCCGATTCTTCCAATCCTTGTCAGTGTTTGTGTCCTGCAACAATACTCATTCAGGTGTTAAATGTACTGCCGTAAACGGCTCTTTTGCCGGGTATTATGTAAACGGATTTCCCACGCCGGGAATCGAACCCGGGCCATGGCGGTGAAAACGCCAGATCCTAGCCACTAGACCACATGGGAACTTGCGATGCCTTACGTAACAGCGTCGTTTTTTTTAAACCCCTTTCTTTGATAATTTTGCTACGCCACAGTAAGTGTGAAAAAGAAACCACATGATGGGTGTTATTGGTCAGGACAATGCATCCGAAGGGAATTTTATGCGCTAGCGGGGAATCGAACCCCGGTCTCCGCGTGGCAGGCGAGAATTCTACCACTGAACCACCAGCGCCACGCCACATATAGCGGTCAATTTCGGCAATCATGTTACTCCGCTGTATGAAACATATTTTCAAATTACACCCATAAATTAGGTCCCATGCTACACGAATCAAACTCAGAAATTATATTTTTAATTTCGTAAAGAGTGATCTATCTTTTACGCATTGCTCGAAAAGATGCACGAAACGGCAGCAACTGGGGATTAGCTCAAATGGTAGAGCGCGCGCTTAGCATGCGCGAGGTAGCGGGATCGACGCCCGCATCCTCCAAAATTTTACGCTTTGGATCTGAAATCATTCTTCAGAAAACCGTTGCTTTGCATTAAAAGTTTTCGTATTATAATATGACAAATATTGATTGATCAACAATGAAGCTGGCCGTTATCAGCCTTCGATAGACAGTTAGTAGATTGGGGGACTGTAGATAAGTAAGCAAACATCCCTAAATCACTGGTTAAACCGGTTCGAAGGATAGTTGCATGGAAAATATTTTGAAAAATATTTTACTTGCCTATGTCAAATTGACATACTGGCAATGGAGTAGAAATTTATTAAATATGTATCCATATTTATCATAACCTGACATTTTGTATGCTCCGTTGTTGTGTGCAGCTAGGGAACTAGGTGGATGATCGAAAACGCCTGAAGAATATGAATAGTCGTTCTGTGCTGTATGCCGAAATAGCTCAGGTGGGAGAGCGTCAGACTGAAGATCTGAAGGTCCCTGGTTCAATCCCGGGTTTCGGCAGGAACTAATTTGAAATATTTTGCCGGTTAGCTTGGTGTGTCTGCAAAATTTTGAAAATAACCCTTTTATTTTGCGGTTTAGGCAAATAGTTTGTTTAGGAAACCAAATGTTAAAAAAACCGAAAATATAGATATGTGTCATTGTAAAAATGGATTTCAATGCGTTACGGCGGTTATGGGAGATTAGATCAAATAAGAGAGCGCGCGCTTTGAATGCGTGAGGTAGCGGGATCGATGCCCGCATCCTCATATTTTTTTCCTATATGATCAATTAAAAACACATTAAATTCTGGAAAACGCAACTCAACTTTATTCGTTCAAATATCAATTTCCTTTTTGACAAACCCATTCTTCCAATCCTTGTCAGTGTTTGTGTCCTGCAACAATACTCATTCAGGTGTTAAATGTACTGCCGTAAACGGCTCTTTTGCCGGGTATTTATGTAAACGGATTTCCCACGCCGGGAATCGAACCCGGGCCATGGCGGTAAAACGCCAGATCCTAGCCACTAGACCACATGGAACTTGCGATGCCTTACGTAACAGCGTCGTTTTTTTTTAAATTACCCCTTTCTTTTGATAATTTTGCTACGCCACAGTAAGTGTGAAAAAGAAACCACATGATGGGTGTTATTGGTCAGGACAATGCATCCGAAGGGAATTTTATGCGCTAGCGGGGAATCGAACCCCGGTCTCCCGCGTGGCAGGCGAGAATTCTACCACTGAACCACCAGCGCCACGCCACATATAGCGGTCAATTTCGGCAATCATGTTACTCCGCTGTATGAAACATATTTCAAATTACACCCATAAAGGTCCCATGCTACACGAATCAAACTCAGAAATTATATTTTTAATTTCGTAAAGAGTGATCTATCTTTTACCGATTGCTCGAAAAGATGCACGAAACGGCAGCAACTGGGGGATTAGCTCAAATGGTAGAGCGCGCGCTTAGCATGCGCGAGGTAGCGGGATCGACGCCCGCATCCTCCAAAATTTTACGCTTTGGATCTGAAATCATTCTTCAGAAAACCGTTGCTTTGCATTAAAAGTTTTCGTATTATAATATGACAAATATTGATTGATCAACAATGAAGCTGGCCGTTATCAGCCTTCGATAGATCAGTTAGTAGATTGGGGGACTGTAGATAAGTAAGCAAACATCCCTAAATCACTGGTTAAACCGGTTCGAAGATAGTTGCATGGAAAATATTTTGAAAAATATTTACTTGCCTATGTCAAATTGACATACTGGCAATGGAGTAGAAATTTATTAAATATATGTATCCATATTTATCATAACCTGACATTTTGTATGCTCCGTTGTTGTGTGCAGCTAGGGAACTAGGTGGATGATCGAAAACGCCTGAAGAATATGAATAGTCGTTCTGTGCTGTATGCCGAAATAGCTCAGGTGGGAGAGCGTCAGACTGAAGATCTGAAGGTCCCTGGTTCAATCCCGGGTTTCGGCAGGAACTAATTTGAAATATTTTGCCGGTTAGCTTGGTGTGTCTGCAAAATTTTGAAAATAACCCTTTTATTTTGCGGTTTAGGCAAATAGTTTGTTTAGGAAACCAAATGTTAAAAAAACGAAAATAGATATGTGTCATTGTAAAAATGGATTTCAATGCGTTACGGCGGTTATGGGAGATTAGATCAAATAAGAGAGCGCGCGCTTTGAATGCGTGAGGTAGCGGGATCGATGCCCGCATCCTCATATTTTTTTCCTATATGATCAATTAAAAACACATTAAATTCTGGAAAACGCAACTCAACTTTATTCGTTCAAATATCAATTTCCTCTTTGACAAACCCGATTCTTCCAATCCTTGTCAGTGTTTGTGTCCTGCAACAATACTCATTCAGGTGTTAAATGTACTGCCGTAAACGGCTTTTTGCCGGGTATTTATGTAAACGGATTTCCCACGCCGGGAATCGAACCCGGGCATGGCGGTGAAAACGCCAGATCCTAGCCACTAGACCACATGGGAACTTGCGATGCCTTACGTAACAGCGTCGTTTTTTTTTTAAATTGCTACGCCACAGTAAGTGTGAAAAGGAAACCACATGATGGGTGTTATTGGTCAGGACAATGCATCCGAAGGGAATTTTGCGCTAGCGGGGAATCGAACGAACCCCGGTCTCCCGCGTGGCAGGCGAGAATTCTACCACTGAACCACCAGCGCAACGCCACATATAGCGGTCAATTTCGGCAATCATGTTACTCCGCTGTATGAAACATATTTTCAAATTACACCCATAAATTAGGTCCCATGCTACACGAATCAAACTCAGAAATTATATTTTTAATTTCGTAAAGAGTGATCTATCTTTTACCGATTGCTCGAAAAGATGCACGAAACGGCAGCAACTGGGGGATTAGCTGAAATGGTAGAGCGCGCGCTTAGCATGCGCGAGGTAGCGGGATCGACGCCCGCATCCTCCAAAATTTTACGCTTTGGATCTGAAATCATTCTTTAGAAAACCGTTGCTTTGCATTAAAAGTTTTCGTATTATAATATGACAAATATTGATTGATCAACAATGAAGCTTGCCGTTATCAGCCTTCGATAGATCAGTTAGTAGATTGGGGGACTGTAGATAAGTAAGCAAACATCCCTAATCACTGGTTAAACCGGTTCGAAGGATAGTTGCATGGAAAATATTTTGAAAAATATTTTACTTGCCTATGTCAAATTGATATACTGGCAATGGAGTAGAAATTTATTAAATATATGTATCCATATTTATCATAACCTGACATTTTATATGCTCCGTTGTTGTGTGCAGCTAGGGAACTAGGTGGATGATCGAAAACGCCTAAAGAATATGAATAGTTGTTCTGTGCTGTATGCCGAAATAGCTCAGGTGGGAGAGCGTCAGACTGAAGATCTGAAGGTCTCTGGTTCAATCCCGGGTTTCGGCAGGAACTAATTTTAAATATTTTGCCGGTTAGCTTGGTGTGTCTGCAAAATTTTGAAAATAACCCTTTTATTTTGCGGTTTAGGCAAATAGTTTGTTTAGGAAACCAAATGTTAAAAAAACCGAAAATATAGATATGTGTCATTGTAAAAATGGATTTCAATGCGTTACGGCGGTTATGGGAGATTAGATCAAATAAGAGAGCGCGCGCTTTGAATGCGTGAGGTAGCGGGATCGATGCCCGCATCCTCATATTTTTTTCTATATGATCAATTAAAAACACATTAAATTCTGGAAAACGCAACTCAACTTTATTCGTTCAAATATCAATTTCCTTTTTGACAAACCCGATTCTTCCAATCCTTGTCAGTGTTTGTGTCCTGCAACAATACTCATTCAGGTGTTAAATGTACTGCCGTAAACGGCTTTTTTGCCGGGTATTTATGTAAACGGATTTCCCACGCCGGGAATCGAACCCGGGCCATGGCGGTGAAAACGCCAGATCCTAGCCAGTAGACCACATGGGAACTTGCGATGCCTTACGTAACAGCGTCGTTTTTTTTTAAATTACCCCTTTCTTTTGATAATTTTGCTACGCCACAGTAAGTGTGAAAAAGAAACCACATGATGGGTGTTATTGGTCAGGACAATGCATCCGAAGGGAATTTTATGCGCTAGCGGGGAATCGAACCCCGGTCTCCCGCGTGGCAGGCGAGAATTCTACCACTGAACCACCAGCGCCACGCCACATGTAGCGGTCAATTTCGGCAATCATCTTACTCCGCTGTATGAAACATATTTTCAAATTACACCCATAAATTAGGTCCCATGCTACACGAATCAAACTCAGAAATTATATTTTTAATTTCGTAAAGAGTGATCTATCTTTTACACATTGCTCGAAAAGATGCACGAAACGGCAGCAACTGGGGGATTAGCTCAAATGGTAGAGCGCGCGCTTAGCATGCGCGAGGTAGCGGGATCGACGCCCGCATCCTCCAAAATTTTACGCTTTGGATCTGAAATCATTCTTCAGAAAACCGTTGCTTTGCATTAAAAGTTTTCGTATTATAATATGACAAATATTGATTGATCAACAATGAAGCTGGCCGTTATCAGCCTTCGATAGACCAGTTAGTAGATTGGGGGACTGTAGATAAGTAAGCAAACATCCCTAAATCACTGGTTCAAAACCGGTTCGAGGGATAGTTGCATGGAAAATATTTTGAAAAATATTTTACTTGCCTATGTCAAATTGATATACTGGCAATGGAGTAGAAATTTATTAAATATATGTATCCATATTTATCATAACCTGACATTTTGTATGCTCCGTTGTTGTGTGCAGCTAGGGAACTAGGTGGATGATCGAAAACGCCTGAAGAATATGAATAGTCGTTCTGTGCTGTATGCCGAAATAGCTCAGGTGGGAGAGCGTCAGACTGAAGATCTGAAAGGTCCCTGGTTCAATCCCGGGTTTCGGCAGGAACAATTTGAAATATTTTGCCGGTTAGCTTGGTGTCTGCAAAATTTTGAAAATAACCCTTTTATTTTGCGGTTTAGGCAAATAGTTTGTTTAGGAAACCAAATGTTAAAAAAAACGAAAATAGATATGTGTCATTGTAAAAATGGATTTCAATGCGTTACGGCGGTTATGGGAGATTAGATCAAATAAGAGAGCGCGCGCTTTGAATGCGTGAGGTAGCGGGATCGATGCCCGCATCCTCATATTTTTTCCTATATGATCAATTAAAAACACATTAAATTCTGGAAAACGCAACTCAACTTTATTCGTTCAAATATCAATTTCCTTTTTGACAAACCCGATTCTTCCAATCCTTGTCAGTGTTTGTGTCCTGCAACAATACTCATTCAGGTGTTAAATGTACTGCCGTAAACGGCTCTTTTGCCGGGTATTTATGTAAACGGATTTCCCACGCCGGGAATCGAACCCGGGCCATGGCGGTGAAAACGCCAGATCCTAGCCACTAGACCACATGGGAACTTGCGATGCCTTACGTAACAGCGTCGTTTTTTTTTAAATTACCCCTTTCTTTTGATAATTTTGCTACGCCACAGTAAGTGTGAAAAAGAAACCACATGATGGGTGTTATTGGTCAGGACAATGCATCCGAAGGGAATTTTATGCGCTAGCGGGGAATCGAACCCCGGTCTCCCGCGTGGCAGGCGAGAATTCTACCACTGAACCACCAGCGCCACGCCACATGTAGCGGTCAATTTCGGCAATCATCTTACTCCGCTGTATGAAACATATTTTCAAATTACACCCATAAATTAGGTCCCATGCTACACGAATCAAACTCAGAAATTATATTTTTAATTTCGTAAAGAGTGATCTATCTTTTACCCATTGCTCGAAAAGATGCACGAAACGGCAGCAACTGGGGGATTAGCTCAAATGGTAGAGCGCGCGCTTAGCATGCGCGAGGTAGCGGGATCGACGCCCGCATCCTCCAAAATTTTACGCTTTGGATCTGAAATCATTCTTCAGAAAACCGTTGCTTTGCATTAAAAGTTTTCGTATTATAATATGACAAATATTGATTGATCAACAATGAAGCTGGCCGTTATCAGCCTTCGATAGATCAGTTAGTAGATTGGGGGACTGTAGATAAGTAAGCAAACATCCCTAAATCACTGGTTAAACCGGTTCGAAGGATAGTTGCATGGAAAATATTTTGAAAAATATTTTACTTGCCTATGTCAAATTGATATACTGGCAATGGAGTAGAAATTTATTAAATATATGTATCCATATTTATCATAACCTGACATTTTGTATGCTCCGTTGTTGTGTGCAGCTAGGGAACTAGGTGGATGATCGAAAACGCCTGAAGAATATGAATAGTCGTTCTGTGCTGTATGCCGAAATAGCTCAGGTGGGAGAGCGTCAGACTGAAGATCTGAAGGTCCCTGGTTCAATCCCGGGTTTCGGCAGGAACTAATTTGAAATATTTTTCCGGTTAGCTTGGTGTGTCTGCAAAATTTTGAAAATAACCCTTTTATTTTGCGGTTTAGGCAAATAGTTTGTTTAGGAAACCAAATGTTAAAAAAACCGAAAATATAGATATGTGTCATTGTAAAAATGGATTTCAATGCGTTACGGCGGTTATGGGAGATTAGATCAAATAAGAGAGCGCGCGCTTTGAATGCGTGAGGTAGCGGGATCGATGCCCGCATCCTCATATTTTTTTCTATATGATCAATTAAAAACACATTAAATTCTGGAAAACGCAACTCAACTTTATTCGTTCAAATATCAATTTCCTTTTTGACAAATAGCTCGGGTGGGAGAGCGTCAGACTGAAGATCTGAAGGTCCCTGGTTCAATCCCGGGTTTCGGCAGGAACTAATTTGAAATATTTTGCCGGTTAGCTTGGTGTGTCTGCAAAATTTTGAAAATAACCCTTTTATTTTGCGGTTTAGGCAAATAGTTTGTTTAGGAAACCAAATGTTAAAAAAAACGAAAATATAGATATGTGTCATTGTAAAAATGGATTTCAATGCGTTACGGCGGTTATGGGAGATTAGATCAAATAAGAGAGCGCGCGCTTTGAATGCGTGAGGTAGCGGGATCGATGCCCGCATCCTCATATTTTTTCTATATGATCAATTAAAAACACATTAAATTCTGGAAAACGCAACTCAACTTTATTCGTTCAAATATCAATTTCCTTTTTGACAAACCCGATTCTTCCAATCCTTGTCAGTGTTTGTGTCCTTCAACAATACTCATTCAGGTGTTAAATGTACTGCCGAAAACGGCTCTTTTGTTGGGTATTTATGTAAACGGATTTCCCACGGCGGGAATCGAACCCGGGCCATGGCGGTAAAAACGCCAGATCCTAGCCACTAGACCACAAAGGAACTTGCGATGCCTTATGTAACAGCGTCGTTTTTTTTTAAATTACCCCTTTCTTTTGATAATTTTGCTACGCCACAGTAAGTGTGAAAAAGAAACCACATGATGGGTGTTATTGGTCAGGACAATGCATCCGAAGGGAATTTTATGCGCTAGCGGGGAATCGAACCCTGGTTTCCCGCGTGGCAGGCGAGAATTCTACCACTGAACCACCAGCGCCACGCCACATATAGCGGTCAATTTCGGCAATCATCTTACTCCGCTGTATGAAACATATTTTCAAATTAACCCATAAATTAGGTCCCATGCTACACGAATCAAACTCAGAAATTATATTTTTAATTTCGTAAAGAGTGATCTATCTTTTACCGAATGCTCGAA